TTTACATTTTATTTTGCTAATTTAATGTTCCGACAGAATATTTATATATTCTAACTAATTCAAAGTTTATTTTAATACATTTCCATGTTTTCCAGGACACATTGGAAACCTGCATTGTGTTTATTGGTAATAAATGTGCTTGGTCTGATTCTATAAGAGTGGGTGGTGACCTAATGACCCCCAGGTGAGGACCACAGTACTGACCAGTCTTCGGGCTTGGAGGCGGCGGGGTCCTGGATCTTGGGCCTCTCGTCCCAGTCATCGGGCTTCTGGTCGTCGGGGTCCTCGATCTCGGCGGTGGGGTTCACAGGGGGGGTCATGTCTGTCAGCAGGCTGCCGCTGTTCACCACGGTCTGATCCACCAGCACCTCGAAGGTGTTGTCAGGGTTCACCACTGGGGGGCGACACAGAGAGGAGTTACACACCTGGACTGTCATTCATGTCGCGTGTGTGTGTGTGTGTGTGTGTGTGTGCGTCTTACCCAGTGTGTACAGGTGAGTTTTCTTGTCGGTGTAGTACGTCCTCAGGTCGGCGTCGGGCTTCTTGGCGTGTTTCTCTTCGTACTCTCCCGTTTTGGGGTTTTTGTGTCTAAAGATGAAGTGCAGTTTGTAATCTTCTCCACACTTGTCGGGTCCAAACATGATGGTGTACGGAGTTTTATCCACAAACTGGTCCTGAAGAAACATACAGGGATTACATTCAGCTGCTGCAGGAGTCTTTTCTTTTATTCATTCTCTGTGTGCATTAGAAAAGCAGGCACTGGTTCCTAACCCTTTTTTTACCAACCATACACTTTTATTAGGCTTCTTTCTGACAGATTCTGTGTTTTCTTCTCATTGTTTAATCAGCTTTAGTTGTTTTCTAATGCATCCTCTTAAATGATAATCTAAACTATGTAGATGGTGTATATTTTCTTACACCCCATAAACTCAAGATGGCCTCATGACGCTCTGTGAGGCTCTGGCGACCCCTAGTGGGTGTCCTGACCCCCAGGTTGCAATACAACATATAGACAATCCCTCTCAGTCCCAGCACCCTGTCCACATGTTGTGTTTCTGTGTGTAAAGAGTCAAACTGACCAGGTCGAGGTCGGGAGTCTGACTCAGCAGTTTGACGTAGGCGCCGCCGCAGTCGATACCCAACTGGAAGTTCACCTCGTACCTGAAGAGAGACGGACAGAGACAGATGAGAACGGTGGAAAGGACTGACGACCAGCGAGGAGGACGTCAGGTAAAAAGTCGCTCTTACTGGACGATGAGGGGCTTAGTGTCGAAGGTGAAAGGTCGCAGCAGCTGGGCTGAGATGGCGTGATGTTTGGCGCGAGACTTCAGGACGAGACCTTTATCACCGGGGAGCTTGCTGTCCTTCATCTCCTCCACCGCCCATTTACCTGTTAATAACAAAGTCATCATCATCAGTCAGCAACCACAACCAGGACAGGAGAGCTCAGTCATCTCAGCAGTACTGTGGGTACGACGAAGAGCTGCACCTACCGTCATACTTCGCGATGTCTTCATCAGCGTCCTCTTTCTTGGCGCTGGACATCACCCAGCTGAAACCAACAAAGAGGAAGTTTAGTTAAACCTGGAGAGGAATTCTTAACGGGTTTTAGAAACAAGGCAGACTGCAGACATAACGACAGAAGAACCCTGTGAGAAGAGGAAGAGCTCACCCGTCCAGTGTCCCCCGATCAAAAGACTCAGCGATGAAATGTTCCCCCATCGGCTCTGGAGCCTTGTAGGTCACCTGGACACAAAGAGGAGGAAGAAGGACAGAAAGGTGTTAATGAGAGAAATATTCTGTTACAGTTACACAAAAAGACTTCAGGTGTGTTTACTTTTGGTTTGGAGGGATTTAAATAATGTGGTCAAACTGGAGTTTAAACATCGACTTCCTCTCTGTTTACTGAATTATTCACTATTAATGTGAGCTTCAATGAGGGACTTATCTTTAATATATTAAACTTCCTGTTATTAGAGCTGAAACTGTAAAATAAAACGGGTTTATTTGACATTAAAGTGAAGTTTTTTGTGGTTTTCGGTGTGAATGCAGGTCAGTGGATCAGCCGGTCAGTGGATCAGCCGGTCAGTGGATCAGCCGGTCAGTGGATCAGCCGGTCAGTGGATCAGCAGGTCCACTGCTCCGTTATCAAACTGACCTCCTGATTTGGTTTGTTAATGAGTAACAGACAGATATATATAGTTCTGTGGAGTACAGCAGCAGCATATATATATCCACATGATCTAAATATACAACACTTATCAACAGGAAGAGTAGGGCTGCTGTATCTGTATTTAAACTTCTGCCAGATCCAATTAGAACTCATAGTTGAGGAGAAACTGTTATGGTGTGGTTTGCGGTCTTACCTTCGGGGTGGGAGGAGTTTTAGGAGCAGGTGGAGCCTCATCCTGCGCGTCCCCCTCCAGATCCTCCAGCTCCTCCTCCTCGGCTCCGGCCAAACCCAGATCCAGCTCGTCCTCCACGTCCACGTCGTCACCCAGACCGTCCTCGACCAGGTCCTCGGCCTGAGAGACGGGGGTTAAACTGAGGCAGAGGAGGCCTGCTGCCAGAAGAACGAACAACCCGACCTTCTGATCCATAGTCTGCAGAGAGAGGAGGAGGAAAAGAAGAAGAAGAGAGTGAGCACATCTGTTCCAGCTGTTCTCTCTCACCACGACCCGGTTCTCCAGCCTCAAACCATCTGTCATCTGTTACCCTCTCTCACGGCAGAGACCAGCTCCAGGCTATGTTGACCAGAGACACCAGAGACACCAGAGCGATACGGTTCACACTGCTCTTCTACTAGTCGTGGGTCAAATGTGTGCTGGGACTCACGACTAGTGTTTACGTTCTGTTAACGTCAGTCCACCTTTCAGCCTGGTCCAGAGCTGGAACCCGCTCTGGACCAGGACCAGAGAGCCCCGGGCTGAAGTCGGGCTGAGGATCCCGAGTAAAGACGTGTGTGAGGCTGCTTTAAGGCTCCCTCACTTTAAGTATTATGAGACTGAATGTGGTGAGGTGATGATGAAGGTGATGAAAATGAGTAAAGTCTCTTAAAGTCGACTCTTAATCAGCATTTAATTCAAATCCTTAATGAATACAGTGTTAGACCTATTTTACATCCATACGAAGGAAGTTCAGTAACCCGATCAGAACATCATGATTCATACACGTAATGTTAACATGAATCTTAATAGATCTCATTTCAGAGCCTCTGTATGATTACAGCTGACTGCTCGATGTTCTCCTCTAAAATCTCAATTCATTCATGTATGTATTCATGTGTGGATACACTTTAAAGGACCAGCCCGTCCGTGTTTACCGCCGTCCGTCCGTTTACCATCGCGTCCGTCCGTGTTTACCGCCGTCCGTGCAGCAGCAGTGCTGTTATTGTAGGTCGTGTTGATGTTCACGCTCCCTGTTGGATTTTAAAGATCCACGAACTCTCTGTGGATTCTATAAACGGCTACGACTGAACAAACTTCACATTGTTTCCCTCCATCATTAACACACACACACACAC